TCTTCGAATAATTAAGTGACATTTGATTAATCCATAAAATAAAATGAATAATATTTGTTTACATTCAAAGCAATTATTATGAATTTAAATGTATCACTATCTTATTTATTTTATTAAATGTAGATTAAAATCTGAAACTTGTTCAGCAGATAGAATAATATCTAATAATCCTACTAATTGTTTAACAGAATACAGCTCTGGACTGACTGTACGATTTTTGATGATATTAAATGAATATCGATATTCTATATAGATCTATTTATCTAATAGTCCAGATAAGGAATAAATTATAAATCCACATGAATATTTCACAAACAATGAAAATTATATCGGTTAGCTTAATATAAGCTCTAATGTATTTTTACATGAAAATACTTCATTAGCAGAAGTTTACAAATTAATTAGAAGTCAACATTTTATATATTTTTTTTAATAATATCAAAAACTATCAAAATTTTTTGAGACGAGGAATTGACAAAGAATAATATCATAAAAATAGTACTACAAAAAAGTATCCTGTTGATGATTTCAGAACTTGACCATCAATAAAAACATAATAACATTATTCAAATGCTTATAAAAATTTGAATATTATATTAGTAACAGTTTTTTTTTGTCACGTCTTTTAAAATTGATATTTTTGATCTTTTTATTCGATGGGATAATTGCATTTCAATTTAATTGAACGCATTTCGTAGCATTTGTCTAAGATTCTGAATTGATAACCAACCAGTTGATATACATGAGTATTAAAAATCTATTGCAAACTTGAAAGACAAAAATGAATTATACATACGTTTATAATACTTCAACAATTCTCAAACATCACCCAATCCTACATGATTATAAACATCCACAAAGATGTCATTGAATTGACCTGAAAATATAAAACCTAAATGATAAAACTTATATTACCTTAATATTAACCTGAAATATCATGTTGTATCAATTTGCATATTTAGTCATCTTTCACAATTCAAACTTGTGGAAGTTCAAACGATGTAGAAGAAACAATCCGGTTTTTAAATGACTATGATTGATTCCAAATGAATAATGAATGTGATGCAAGTGATTATCTACAAAAAAAAAAAAAAAATGATGCTGAATGATTAAGTGCTCTAAAAAAATGCAAAATGCAAAAATTACTTAGATATTTTATTTAAGATAATTGTTACATTTGAGATAACTTATAGAGATTAAATCTCTACAGCTTTAGAGAATAGTTAAGCAGTGCCCCAGATCTAAAAAAAAAAAAAATCAATATTTAGGAAATTATTTGAAAGTTTAATTAACTTTAATTTTTTATTATGCAAGTTATCAGAAAAGTATGTCACCACTGACTAGTAAGACAGGGATAACTTAGAATCATCATATAATAAAATATAAAAAAAAAATCATTAAATATAAAATTAATTATTAAGCACTATTTAAATGCTACTAATTGAATAATTACTGAAATTGTTATATTAACATACTATAAGCGGGTAGTCATACTGATGTAAAATTTTTAATGAATAATCTTTTGTAAATTAAATCATTAAGTTTTAAAAAGCAGTTTAATTGGAAAGATATATATGCAACACTAATTCAACAGAAAAAATGTACAATACAGTTGAATTTGAAAGTGGCTACATTTATTCATTTTATTCAAATTTTAATATTTAAGCATTAATAATAATATACTTTGACTAGATTTCAGTAAATCTTATTTATTACAAATGTAAATTAAAATGTTCAAAATGATGATTAAAGATTGAGGAAAAGTAGAAAATGTTCAAAATCTATATAATGTTCCAAGGCTATCTTCGCGTTCACAATTATTTTCCAATTATCCTACCCCTAAATCTAATTTTCTCTTAAATTCGCCAATTTTACTTATGTTCTCTATCTTTAATTTAATTAATAATGAAATAGATATTCACAACACTTTACCTAATCAAATAATCTCCATCTGCACAAGTTGACCTTTTTATTTCTTTTCAAATATCTCATTCTTTTCTTATTCTGCTTATAAATAATATTGTCACATTCTGCATTATATGTAATTTTATGTAAGCATTTTATGTTACTAACTATATATTGTAATTTTGCATATATTTTAATTGTTATTCATTATGTAAAATAATTGTATTTTTGAGTCCTCTTGGAGAAATCTGTGGGCAATATATTAAAATAAATAAATAAATAAATAATGCAATTTTCCAAAAAAAATACTAAAGTCTGCATTTCAAGTATCCATTTGTAAATACTAGTAATTTTTACTATTACTACTAACAGCCTGATTTTAATTTAGTGATAGTAAAATCATTGTTTACCCACTTATAGTGTGTTAATGCATAATGCATAATGCATAGTATTAGGTTGAAAGTAAAACTTAGATTGAATGACAAAAAAAACTTACCTGGATATGACTTCAATCTTTTTGATGGGATTAATCAAATCACGGAGCACCCGAAAAATAAAAATGTATTATACAATTTGAAGAAAAAATTATATAACAATATAAATAAATATTGAAGTGATCAGAAAAGTAATTCTCCATGAGTTTGTAAGACAGGTATAACTAAAAATCATCATTGTAATAATAACAGGACTAAAATGCAATCCTTATTAAAAAGGAGAGTTTTTTTTAAAGGACAAGTACAAATGTATTTCATTTTTCATTGCTCACCTCATTTTGTTTTAGAAGACACAAATAAATGTACTGCGAGTGCAATAACAAATTCACTGTAGGTGCTTCCTACATCTGTAAAGAAAATTGTAATTTAGTTTTGTGTTTGATAAAGTAAATCTATATATTTACAACTAGTATTGATTTCAGTAAAACCGTAAAATCATTATCTTCATACTGGGGCGGTAGATTTATCATCATAATATATAATTAAAATTTTATTTTAATTAAAAAATACACATGAGTTTAAATTTGATGAAAAATTACCTGGATATGACGACTTCAATCTTGCCAGTGATTGATCAAAAATTATGGAACACCTGCAAAAGAAAAATCTATGGTAAAATTTCAAGCAATATGCCTATCAATTTAATGATAGGATATTGTTGTCAGAATAGTAGTTCACCATGAATTTGTAAGACAGGGATAACTATAAATCATCATTGTAATAAAATAATGTGCTTAAAATTCTTGAATGGAATTTAATTTCTTATATAAATTAATTAAAATTGTAGTTTAATTTCTTTTAAATGTGGATACGATAAAGTATAATGATGTACATTGAAGTAATAAAAAAAATTAAGAAATAATTTCTTATGCAAAACACTTTTGGTAATTTTATTTTAAAGATTAATTTTAAGACTTCAATTAAATTACTAGAGTAATATGAAAAAAGAATTATAAATATAATATTTAATATATGACTAGAAATATGAATCAAATCATAAAAAAATTAAAAAAAGATAAAATAGTTTTTTTTATAATCTATACTAAGTTTTGTTAAAAATATTAATTTCTCATATTGAATTGAAATTTACCAAAAATAAGTATTAACACAAGTAAATTCTGAGTGACCAAAAAAAAAAATTACCTAGATATCGTCTTCAATCTTATCATCAATCAATCACACAAATCGTGGAGGCGCCTGAAATTAAAAATTAATTAATTAGTTAATATTTGAAGAAAAATATATAACAAAACTAAATATCTGAAGTTATATCAGAGAAGTAGTTCACCATGAATTTGTAGGACAGGGATAACTATAAATCATCATAGTAATAAATAAAAATAAATAGTGCTTGAAGCTCTTAAGTAAAATTGAATTTTTAAGTTAATCAAAATTTAAATAATTATTATTTTAAATAAATGATGTAAATTATGTGTACAAATAAATAATGCATGTGTATTTGTTTATAATTATAATGGTTTAATTAAATTTGAATTTATATTGTGTAGTGCTTTGAACAATAAATCGAAAAAAAGTAAGAACTGACAAAATTGTTTTTAAATTGTAAACTTTTGGTATACAAAATATATTAAAAATGAAATCTTAACACATTAGTAATAAAGTATTTACTAAAGTAATGTAACTATATATGAATATTTTTTATTGATATCACCCCAACTAAAATTGTGATTTGAATAATAAATAAAAAGTAAAAAATGATTTCAGTTTAAATAATATTTATTTTTTATTTCTAAAATTGAAATGAAATTTTTTTGAAAACATTTTTCATACAATCCTACAAAATATACCCAGTAAGCACGCGACATCAGTGCAATAGTCGCACTGATGTCGCGCCTACGACATGAGACATCGCCGCGTCGTAGTCACGAATGTGTTATTGAGATGGATCCTACACTTGAATTGACATCGCATCGCGATATCTCACTCGCGACCACCGTACGACATCTTAGCAATATCCAATTTTAGTACAAATGCATGCATAATTTTTTTATAAAATTAATAGACAATTTATTAGAAAAGCATTTATTTATTTATAATAATTACATATTATTGAAAGATTACAAATTGGTATGACAAACGTTTACAGATAATTCTATTTTAAAACAATCATAAATAACATAAATCCTAATTTACAATTATAAATAAAATAATAATTATATTATATAATGATGCACATTACTCAATCTTAATATATATATATATAATATATATATATATATATATATATATATATATATATATATATAACAGCAATGTGTAATCTTATATATAACAAATTTTTGTACATATTTGAGGAATTACTTATACAGTAGAAACTCGATTTACAGGACTAATTGTTGTCAATAGGCATTTGGCTAATCAAAAATCCAGATAATCGAATGTATTAAGAATTATGTTGTGTATTTATTAAAAATAACAAGTACATACATAGACAACAACAAAAATAGTGTTTATTAAGAAACACTTTCTTACAAATGTACATATATATTTTCTTAGATTACATAACATACATATACTAAAAACCTATAAACTTGTATGTATGTGCAAGTTGAATATTTGCATGTATATAAATTGCTCGTGGTTTGTAGTTTGCATAACCGAAAGCCGGGTAAACGAGTTTCTACTGTACATGGAACAGATATAATTTCTGAACCTATATCATTCTCTAGTCTTGACCTATTTACAATTGTACTCCTCAAATATTGTCTTGACTAAAGTAACTTCTAAGATCTGCCATGTGCTCCTAGGGCAAAAAAGAATATGACTTGTCTCATCTCACTACCGTTTCATCGCACTTCATTATATGTGAAGATTTTCTAAAAGAATGAACATAATATGTATGTATTAGAAAATGTTATATATATATATATATATATATATATATATATGTATATATATATAAATATAGTTCAAAAGACTTACAAATTCAAGACTAGTCCCCATCTTCAGTGACTGTAATTCATCCACAAATTTAACAAGCGGGATGAACTCCGAATGCATTATTTTGAACCATCAATCTTCACGAAATGATCCCAAATATCATCATGTGTTTGATCTTGTAAAATTGACTGGATTTATATCTTCAGTATCATTTTTCTATGACAATACAGCGGCGTGCTCTTGCTAACCTCTTCATTTGACGCATCGTTCAAATATCTTTCATAATACCATACAAATATCAAGTTAAGTAAACGTTAAATAAAATACTATAGATAAATTAATATAGTTATATATATATATATATATATATATATATGATGTACTTACTTTTCCATTTTATTTCAATGCTAAGTTTACTAACAAGATAAAGCACAAACACCCTTTGTTGACAACCGGCCATCTTTAATCCTAGATAATCCTACTGTTCCTGTACCACAGTAGTGTTACCATATATCATTGCTTCGTGCATAGCAAATTCACAAAATTCAAAAGTTATTCATTTAATATTTGATATTTATTCCAAACAACAAATAGAATTAGAACTAAGCATCTTTTGATAAATATTTTGTTTATGATTAGATTATTAAAAATATATATTTGCGGATAAAAAATTATTTTTGAGCATTTCTATTCAAACCTCGCGCCATCAGTAGAAGCATTTCGGGCAATACTTGTTTTTTTTTTATTTATTTATACTTGAACATTTAAGGTGCGTCCACACCTAACGAACGAACACGAACGAACATAAAAGAACGTACCAGAACGAACGGCAACAGCATAGTGTGGACGCCACAACGATCACGAACGAACATAAACAAACATGGCGAGCAATGTTCCGCAACTTGTCGGTACATCAAAGGGAATTGTTCGTTCATGTTTGTTCTCGTATGTGCAGTGTGGACGCTACCACGAATGTAGACAAACATTTTTCTTTTTTTATGTAAAAATGTGCAGTCCTGCATTAGTTTTTGTTGTGTTTATAATAAGATATTGATGTTATTGACAAATTTTGTAAATTTGATGACTTTAAATAATTTTGCTCTTTCTCGCCACCTTTAAATAATAAATCTGACGTTTCACGGTACATCCTCGAACAAAAAGATTCAAGCCCTCACTGCTTTGAGGCGTTTGTTCGTGTTCCTGTTCGTTCTTCTTTGTATTTTCTTGTTCGACATGCTCGTTCGTGTTTGTTTGTTAGGTGTGGACGCACCTTTATTAAATTGAAATAATTTTAACAGAGATCAAAATGATTAGTACGTAATTTCGATTTTTATTTGATTTTTTTTTAAATAAAATTTTTGAAAAAAATGAGATTTTTGAGAATTTTTAAAAAAAATTGACTTTTTGAAAAATTTGATTTTTTTTGGCCTCGTTTTTTTTTTTTAATTTGGAATTTTTTCAAAGCATCATGCTACGGCTATTTCAGAGGAAAAAACCGAAGCGCGTAAGCGCCGCGCCGCAGTATACGGATAAACTTTAGAAATGTTAACAAATGGTATACTTATTATTAAAGTTTCTAAAATATAAGATAATTTGATGTAACGGTTCTATCTCAATATAAAATAGCTTTTGACATCCTTCATAAAAAACGACCGATCGGTATGTCACAATTGCAATTTTAAACGAACATCTACACCACGTTGGTTTATTGTCACAGCGAGGATGTTGGCAGGGATTTATATAGAATATTGCTACAACATCACGTGCTTACTGGGTAAGAATATCTCACCTTTTTGTTTTGAAAGACGCACCAAATTCATTCGAAATGTCTGATACATCTGCAAAAAAAAGAAAAAATTTAGTACTGTGCAGAAATTAATAATAAATATTTGTGCACTTAGAAAGAAATTCAGTAAAACCGTAAAATCACGATCTTCATACTGGGGCGGTAGGTTTATCATCATTGAATTGAATTATAAAAATTAAGATTAAATTAATAAAAATATGTAACAGTAATAAAAATACTAAAACCATGTTGAAGACTGTATCATGTCCACTGATAAGTCATTTTTAAATTCGAAAAGTTAATTAATTAATAATATTATAAGAGTCTTATACAAAAACATACATAATGACTATTCAAAAAAAAAAAAAACAATTATGCAGATATGCAGTCTTAAACATGTTATTGAATATCAAAAAAGGGTTAAAAAAAATCAAGAATTAAAATTTAATAAAAAAAATGATTACTAATATCAAAAATTATTAATGAAGCAGCTACCATTTTAACTTTTCACCTGAAGTTTATTAAGACATTCCTGAAGAGAGATTGATTCCAGTTATTTTAATTGGATCTTCATATAATTTGTCATATATGAAATATTAATATGTGTTGTAACTAAATGTACCGTACCAACAACTTTCGGCACTCCATTGTAACAGTAAAAGTCACTATGAAGTTTCCTAGAGTGGTTTAATATTCCCAATAATAATTATAATTTGGCACTAAAAAGTTAATATAAACATTTTAGCGGGGCAATTGGGACAAGAATAGTTACAGATCTATTAAGAAAAAATAGAATATTAAATACCTGTATATCGTTTTAATTTTTAAAAAACTTAAATTTAAATACAAATCTTGAATGAAATGATAGATGTGTACATGGTTATTTGGTGAAAAGGAATCTCAAATTTAAATATAAATGAACACACCAAGTTGTGTTAAGAAAGTCGAGTAAAATAATGCAATACCTTTTGTGAACGGTTTGGACCACTCAAATATGCACCAGAAATTTTATTTTAAATTTTGTACATCTGCAATAGAAAGAATTTGAATTTAATATTATATTTGTGCAAATAAACAATTTTTAATTACAGTTTCATTCAAAATAATGTTACTAAATTATTGATTATTGTATAACAAATTATATAGTTCATAAAACAGAATGTAAAGAAAAGAATTATATAATAATAAATTGAATTTCAATCCATAAAACAAAACAAAGAAATTATTAAATATTCATATTGCTTATAAAACAATATATAATCGTATCAAAAAATTATATAATTTATAAAAGAAGAAAACAATTATATAATAACACAGATTCTGTAAAACAAAAATATGTTTAAATCATAAAACAAATTTTAAATAACAAAAAATTAATTTGTAAAATAAACTATAATCCATAAACAGATTTTAATTAATTAATATTAAAATTCTTAATTATCTTTTACTGTTTCCATAACTTTTGGCACTCCAATACATAAAACATCATTATGAAGTTTCCTAGCAGGAAATTATTATACCCAAAGATAAACTAATGTTGGCACTGTCGAGTTAATGGATAACAGGCAGCGTGGCAATTGGGATAAAATAAAAAAAAATATGGTTATTACCTTTTTGCAAGCCCTAGAGAATTCTCAATACAATCCTTTGTATTCCTCTTGCTCATACAATGTTTGATCTGTAATTTAAAATAATTATAATTAGTTATGACAAATATGTAAATTAAACTGGGTTTGTTATCAAGTTCAGTTTAAACCGTATAATCAAAGCTGTCATACTGGGCGGTAATGGTATCATCATTGTTAAAGGACGTCAATATAAATAGTATGACAAAACAAATTCATAAAATCTTTCTTGAAACAGAAAAGAGAAAATAAATTAGTTAATAGAAGTGCTCTTCTACACTATCATTAGTATTTAATTCAATCCAGGATATTTTTGAACCTCATGTTACAAGATGTAAAATGAACAAATGTATAAAAATAAAATTGTAAATAATTACCTTTATTAGTTTTTGATAGGCTGGACAGACCTCACGAGCTCAATTCCAGAAATCCACTTGCATTCAGGTACAACGCAATCAAATATATTGATTAGTTTAGAAAAATAAAATTGAGTATAATTTAGTATAATTAATAATTGAGTATAATTTAATTGTTAACAAAGTATTGATTCAGGTACCGTATAATCAAGGACCTCATACTGGGGCGGTTAAAAGCTCATCATGGTATTAAGTTTAGTTGTTTGAAATATTTTTAGTATTATTACAAAACTAGGTATGCAATAAAAATGTTTCATTAACGAAGAAAACAAAACTAAGGATTTAAAATAATTACCTGGTAGAGTAGAAGCAACTGTAAGTCCATTTCCAGGAAACTGATGGAAAAGAAATTTAAGTATTTAGATTGTTTGCAATTATTCAAAATAAGCAACAAAATTGCATTTAAGATAAATGTATTTGAAATTCATTGATGAAGATTAATAAAAGTGTTTTCAAAACTTGAACCTGTATATTGCAGTTTTTATTAGTGTTGTATTTAAAATTTCAATAATAATTTTTGTTACTTGTTTTTCTTTAGTTCGTAACTTAGACATGTAGATGTAGTAATTTATAATAATAGTAATTGATAACAAGTAATGTATTGCCAAATAATGAAACTAAAGATATGTATCAAATTCAATTAATAAATATTAAATTTATTTGTTAAATATTAGGTATTTAATATTTTATATTCAATAAATTTTTGTAAGTATACCACTATATATAATTGCAAATGTTCAATTTGGCTAAGATATTTTTTACACATTAATGCGTGTAATAATACCATATTTTTGTACAATTGATCTTAGAAGTATCAGCAAATGTTATGCTAAAAACAAAATTGTGATTTAATTCTTTAAATGCTTATAAGCA